GTGATTTAAATGTCTATCTAATTAAAGATGAAGCTCACAATGGTGTGTGTCTTTAAAAAAAAAGCCCCTTTTTTTTAACAAGTTGAAGTCCCATTCTCAGAATGTCATGCAAACTTTCTCTCGACCAGAAAGAAAGTTTCTTGGTCACAAAGACAATAGGTGGAAAAACTTGGGTGTCTGACCCACATCCTGGGATCACTTAGAAGGCCTAATTAGGCCTAATGTTTCTAGAAGTTTGGGTTAATGACATGCCGGAGAAACAATGACTGTTCTCTGTATAATTGATGTGGCTGGTCAAACGGAAAGATTTCTTCTTTCGTATTTATATGTTCTTTTCTTTTTTAATCATTTCCTTGTGTGACACTCGTAAAAACATCTTTGCATAAGGTTAATATTGCTTGCTGCCAACACATGGCATTTTTGAAAAGTTTAAATGTTATTATTTTATCTTCTTTCACAAGGTAATAAGACCAAATCCCCAATAAATAAATAGTGTGTGACGTTTCAGTAACAGGGTTGTTACCGAAATGTCACACACTATTTGTTAATTTGGATTTGGTTTCTCTCTCTCTCTCTCTTTCATTTATCTTGGGTTTATAATCTACTAGCCGAATGACCCGGGCAACGCCTGTGTTTTACCCGATTGAATGTTTTGATTCAAATACTATTTGTTACAATTATAATTTGGCGCCTTAAATAAATGCATATGTTAGTTAATAACTATAGCCTATGTGCTTTATCTGTCTATGTACTGTTGGCTTCCGTAGGCGTCTCTTACTGGGAAAGAGAAAGAGAGGATTCCATTTGGTTATTAACTAATATATGCATTTATTTAAGGAGCGACCCGCTCCAACACAATAGTTACAAAAACGAAAATGCGAGTGGGGGGGGGGGAGGGCATGATGGGGGGAGGGCAAAGGTGGCGTGATCGTAGCCGACCAATAGGAGGGCGCCATTCCAAAAAAAAAGCAAACCATGACAGAGGCGACGAAGAATGACGCTCGTAACTGTATATAGAATAATCTAAATTGTGTGCCTTATCATATTTTGTGGGTGATAAGGTATAATTTGGATTATAGATTACAATACACTACAATTGTATTGGATTGGTTTTCTTATATACCCTGTATTTACTATGGAAGTCAGCTTAAGGGTGTTTAGTGAACCTATGGACATAAGCTTATAGGTCTGTAGAGGAGACCATGAGTATCATTATCTTTTTTAGGAAAACTAATTTTTTATTTGGTCTTATTACCTTGTAAATACGTAGTACGATGCGATTTACATAAGAAGTGACCTGTCTATAGCACCCCCTCTCTATAGCACCATATTTTAAATACATAGTACGATGTGATTTACATTAAAAGTGACCTGTCTATAGCACCCCCTCTCTATAGCACCCTATTTTGGTGAGTCCAAGAGGGGGCGCTAATGATGAGCTAACGCTTGAAAGCTAGCCGTTTTATATTTTATATTAAAGAAACCTTTTGCAATTAATTTGATCGGTGTATACCTTTTTTAATCGTCATTGCAATTATTCCTCAATCTAAATTATTACCTTGTATTATGATGCACTAGCACGCCCATCTGTTATGATAATTAGAAACTATTTTAGACGCGTAAGATTCTTTTTGAAATTAAACAATTTCTACTACCCTTACTGCAATGGAAAAATTAATGGGAGGGCCTGGCTTATCAGTGGTGAACCCTCCCAGCGGTTTCACCAGTTTAATCTACCATACCGCTGTAATATTGCATTTTTCGATCTTCCTTTTATAGTCATACTGAGATTTTAGACTCTTGGAATGGATATTTTAGATGAACTATGGACATAAGCTTTGTGTGAGGACAGTAGAATCACATACATTTATAAATATATTGTGGCGAAGAAATATTTTATTATTTAATTTAATATTATTCAATGAAAATATATTCAACAGATTATAAAAATATATATTAATCTGTATTTGTGAAATCATCTTTAAAATATTTCTTTGCTTGCTTGCTTAAGATTCTCTAGCTGTAGAGGGTTGGGCTGAGTTGTTAATAATTGTCGACTTGTCGCCGTGACGTCATCAATAAATACTTTTACATCTTAGGATATTTCAAGGCTTGATTTCTACGCTACAACTGGTGGAGAGACTGGACCGATACCCATTAAGAAATAAAAGAAAAATTGATTCTGTTGAACCAGAAGAAACTTCTATGAATGTAAAGAAGGAAGGTACTCAGGTAAGCAACTACGTTGTTCAACATCTGCCAAGGAACCCTTCCATTTTCTCCGGGGAGGATGGTGAAGATCTCCAAAAATGGTTAAAAGGGTATGCACGTGTGGCAAAGTACAACCATTGGGACGAAACCCTTTGTCTTACTAAAGTTTATTTTTATCTGTCTGGAACTGCTCTCAAATGGTTTGAGAACAACGAAGAAAGCATACAGACTTGGAAGGAATTCACATCTCAATTAGAGAATGTGTTCGGAAAAAAAGAAAATACAAAATTGCAAGCGGAGAAGAAACTTAAAACACGGGCACAATTAAAAGGTGAAAGTACCGAATGTTACATCCAGGATCTCCTGTGCTTGTGCAAAGAAGTTGATCCTCAAATGAGTGAGGAAGATAAAATCTCCCACCTCATGAAGGGGATAGCTGAGGAGCTTTATCAAGCACTCCTACCGAGGGATGTACAGAGCACCGAGCAATTCATTACAGAATGTCGCCGTGTCGAAGCGCTCCGTTGTAGGCGAGTTACCCCAACCAGGTACGAGCGCCTACCAAATGTAGCCTCTCTCTGTGACCAGGATGACGGAGAAGATCTGTCATCTATGATTAGGCAAATTGTTCGTGAGGAGGTACAGCGGGCATTAGGCTCTCCTCGGGAGGAACCAAAAAATGCTACAATCGAAGAAATTGTAAAGGAGGAGATTGGAAGAACCCTGGCGCCAATCTCAAAGTCTAGGAGAAGTCCCCCTCAGAAGGAAAGACCCCGACAGTTTTTAAATACTAGATATGTGACCGAAACGATAAGACCGCACACTGAACCTCGATACCCAAAACAAGGAGGAAGACGCGACACCAATGATTGGCGTACAATTGAGGGAAGGCCTATCTGTTTCTACTGCGGACGCCCAGGTCACGTCGTCCGCTATTGCCGTGACAGGAAGGGACACAATGAGGAAAGGAGAAATGACTATTTCCAAAGAAAGCAAGACGCAATGGTATCCTACAACTCTCGAGCTGAATCTCAGGACCCCAATGACGAATCATCGAGGAAAACTTTCACTCGCTACCGAAGCTCTACTTCATATCGCGGTCGAAGCAGACAACATTTCTCACCTGCTAGAAGATCTAGCTGGACGCCCCGCCATTAAAACTAGATGATAGACCACATTGGAGGCGAGGCCGCAAATTTATAAAATCCCCCCTTACCGACCACAGTAGAAATGAGAAAAAGCTACCTTGACGTAAACATAGACCTACCAACTCCTCATGAAGAAGATATCTCAACTGAAAGAAGACATCCACCGCAGTCACCTGAAAATATCCCTGGCTATAGTACTAGTTCTTAAGACTGACGACGTAAGTCTCCTGTTGAGCATCGGGTCGATGCTCTTTATAGGAGGAGGCTATGTGGCGAAGAAATATTTTATTATTTAATTTAATATTATTCAATGAAAATATATTCAACAGATTATAAAAATATATATTAATCTGTATTTGTGAAATCATCTTTAAAATATTTCTTTGCTTGCTTGCTTAAGATTCTCTAGCTGTAAAGGGTTGGGCTGAGTTGTTAATAATTGTCGACTTGTCGCCGTGACGTCATCAATAAATACTTTTACATCTTAGGATATTTCAAGGCTTGATTTCTACGCTACAATATAATTTCCAAAAATAAAAGAAAATAAGACCTAATCCGAATAATTTATTAGTGTGTGACGTTTCGGCAACAACATTGTCACCATCATCAGACAAAATCATGAAAAAGTTGTTGCCGAAACGTCACACACTAGTAAATTATTTGGATTAGGTCTTATTTTCTTTTATTAAATCTATAATCCAAATTGTGCTTTATCATATATAATTTCCATTGCAGTAAGGGCAGTAGAAATTGTTTAATTTCAAAAAGAATCTTACGCGTCTAAAATAGTTTCTTATTATCTTTGGTTTTAAAATGGCAATTAAACCATCCCTAGTAGAGAGGTGTCTTCAAGAGAGAATATCCTCTTTGACAGAAGTTCTACTGTATTAGAAAGTTTATCATTCTGCCTGCCCTTTCTCACTATCTTCACCAAATCCACATTTCTATTGCCTCCAAATAATTTTTTCAATTTTCTCCTTTTATCCCAGTGTGGAGATAAGAAAGAAGAAGAAGAAGATCTCAATTCCTATCTATAATCTTCTCAAAAGGCTAGAGAATCCACAATAGCACATTTCATTTTTTTTCCCCTCCAAAAAAAAAAATAAATAAATACAGTTAAGCCTGTCTATAGCGCCCCCTCTAAATAGTGCCTTCCTTTCTATAGTGCCTCAAAAGTGACCTGTCTATAGCACCCCCTCTCTCTATAGCACCCTATTTTGGTGAGTCCCAAGAGGGGGCGTTATAGACAGGTTTAACTGTAGTGACTTTCAAAATTATTGGTTTGGACCATATGTATTATATTGACTAAATGTTTTTTTTTTTGCTTATCCCTAGTACACGTGGTACAGGCCATGATAATCATGGTGGGCAGTTAGCGACTGCTTTTTTACTATAAGCGCACCACATGTCTACACATGTGAAAGCAGTTCGACTTTGCACTTACAAATGTGCCAGAGCCCCGTTTGGTTACTTGCACTCGCTGGTGGGGGTTGGACTTTTGCAAGAATCGGGGGGCCATTGGAGCATTTTTTTTTTTTTTAAACAGAAAAAAGTGTCCAATGCGGGGATCGAACCCGGGTCGTAGTGGTCGTAAACCAATTAATAATTAACCACAATTTATATATAAAATTGTACTACAAGAAAATAAGACCAAATTCAATAAATTGTGTGTGACATTTTGGTAACAGCGTTGCTACCATCATCAGACAAAAGAAAATAATTTATTTATTCATTATATCATTCATTTATTCTTTTATCTGATGATGTGGTAACAATGCTGTTACCGAAATGTCACACACTATTAATTTATTTGGATTAGGTCTTATTTTCTTGTAGTTCTAATCTATAATCCAAATTGTACTTTATAATTTGTGGTTCTAATATTGTAATTCTTAGGTCCCCAAGTCTCAATTCTATATACAGTTACGAGCGTCATGCGTGGCCTCTGTCACGGTTTGCTTTTTTTTTTGGAATGGCGCCCTCCTATTGGTCGGCTACGATCACGCCACCTTTGCCCCCCCCCCCCCATTTCTGTAACTATTGTGTTGGAGCAGGTCGCTCCATAAATAAATGCATATATTAGTTAATAACCAAATGGAATCCTCTCTTTCTTTTTCCCAGTAAGAGACCCCTACGGAAGGCCAACAGTACATAGACAGATAAAGCACATAGGCTATAGTTATTAACTAAAATATGCATTTATTTAAGGCACCAATTTATAATTGTAACAAATAGTATTTGAATCAAAACATTCAATCGGGTAAAACACGGGCGTTGCCCGGGTCATTCGGCTAGTTATTTTATAACTGTGGTTATAACATAAAATTTTGCCCCCACCCCCCAAGTGAAAAAAAATTTGTCTAAAAAAAATCAATATATACAATCATGTTTGGGATGTAATACGTACAGTTGGCCACAATGAATAAAATGATACGCACACATACAAGTAAATTTTGATAATATTTAAGAGGATTGCTTTCTCTCTTTTTTAGTTTTATTCAATTTTTTAAAAATGTTCACAAACTCTTTTTTTTTATAGCGGTATCTATATGCAACAAAATGTTCTTCTTCTTCTTTCTTATCTCCACTCAAACATATTAGGGTATCAAGTTTTTTTTTTTTTTTTTAATTAAAAATTATTTATTGTCTTCTAGACAATGTTACATCAATTTATCAACGAGGAAAAAAAGATAGCGAAAAGCGTGTTCGAACCAGGGGACATCAGGTTCTAAAGTCTAAAGCTTTCACAGCTAGGCTATTTTGCCTTAAGAAAGAAAAGAAATATATTACATAAAAAATAAATATTTACATATATGTTACATATATTTTACAAGGGGGATGATGGAAGGAGACCTCGATGCTGGAGGGTCCCGGACCAGGCGATGAGCGGGTCCTCCACCGCTTCTCCGATCTTAGGGTATCAAGTTGTGACCTTTGATGGTGTCTGTTTGACAACCATCATGACTGGGTGAAGTAGAATGTGTCTGCCTTTGTCATTAAGACTGGGAGCAATACTCAGTGACAGGCCGACTTAACTCTAAAAGAAATGGCCGCCTCTGACATGGGGAACAGACGCCAAGTGCAGCTACTCCTAACATGGAGTACAAACGCTGCTCATCCTGGATTAGGAGCCCTTACAGGGTACTATCAGCTGGGCCAGCTGAACCCAGGTTTTTTAGAGAGCTTGTTACTGCTCCCCCTCCTCCTTTTTCATCTGGGCTTGGGACCGGCAAAGACGGAGTTATAATTATAGCTAGGGTTGACTATTACACAATTTTTATTTTATTGATTGTGGTAAACTCCGCAGATATAAGATTTGACTACTGTACTATTAGAGGTGTTGATTATGAACTGTTGACCTTAATTAAGTTCTTCCATATAGTTTTCTTCTCAGACTTCCATACACAATATCTCTGCCTTTAAAAAAAAAATCAATAAATTCTAAAAAAAAAAAAGAGAAAAAAAAAAAGTAAAATGTCTATTTATAGCCATTCTTCAACAAGGAGCCACCAATAAAAGGCCAAAACCAATTGAATCCTAACTTGTCTGCTAAGCCTATTAAGCATGACGAGTTAACAGCCACCTCATCTGCATACAATGGAATCCTGACATATTTTATCCAGGCTGTCAGTGATGACTCAATATAGGGTGGGACTGAATCTAAAAATTGCCATGTTTGAAGAAATTAGGTTTGTTGTGTGCCCATAGAGATTTATAGTTTCCTCTCTTTTTTTGTGGCAAATTTAGTACTATTTGGATAGTGATCATTATGTCTCTGGAAACCAACACCTTATCCTTTGAGACACAGGATCAAATATGGTTCCTGATGGGATTCAAACCAACAATCTTTGGCTCCAGAGGTCAACACTTTATCCGTTGAGCCACAGGATCAAATACCAATCTTGATGGGATTCAAACCCACAATCTATGGCTCCAGAGGCCAACATCTTATCCGTTGAGCCACAGGATCAAATACCAATCTTTATGGGATTCAAACCCACAATCTTTGGCTCCAGAGGCCAACGTCTTATCCGTTGGGCCACAGGATCTAATACCAATCTTGATGGGATTCAAACCCACAATCTTTGGCTCCAGAGGCCAACACCTTATTTGTTGGGCCACAGGATCAAATACCAATCTCGATTGGATTCACTCCCAAAATCTTTGGCTCCAAAGGCCAACACCTTATCCGTTGAGCCACAGGATCAAATACCAATCTTGATGGGATTCAAACCCACAATCTATGGCTCCAGAGGCCAACACCGTATTTGTTGGGCCACAGGATCAAATACCAATCTCGATTGGATTCACTCCCAAAATCTTTGGCTCTAGAGGATAACACCTTATCCGTTGGGCCACAGGATCAAATACCAATCTTGATGGGATTCAAACCCACAATCTTTGGCTAGGGAAGCCAACGCCTTATTCGTTGGGCCACTGGAGCCAAAGATTTTGGTAGAATGCCATCAGGATCAATATTTTTAACTATTAAAATTAGGTGGAAATTTTACCTGGAGGATTTTTTTTTTTTGTGATCTATAAAAAGAAAGGGCACCTCTCTTGTCAAATAGACCAAAATTAATGGTTCACAGTTTTTCGGTTCATTTTGATCAGAGAAGTGTCCTTTGATAAGGCACAATTTGGATTATAGATTATAAACACAAGGTAATAAGACCAAATCCAAATAAATAAATATTCTGTGACGTTTTGGTCACACAATATTTATTTATTTGGATTTGGTCTTATTACCTTGTGTTTAGAAGTGTCCTTTATTTTCAACTACCAAAATGTCCTGTAGTAAAATGCATCTGCTATTTAAAGGCACTTCAATTTTGAAAATTGAGCAATTTCAATGGAATTTACATTTTTATAGGAAGGAAATTGGTAGAACATCTCTCTAAAGATAACTCCTAGTTGTAAGGACCAATTTGTCCTTTAATCAAATGTGTCCTCTTATACTGGAAAATATTTGTGTCTATAAGAAAGATATCCTTTACAACAAAAAGAATAATGGAGAAATGCTTATTTTATTATAGCAATAAAGCATTAGCTTTCAAACCTTACGGTTCTGTTGTTTCTTATCCCCTTGTGCAAAGATTACACAAATTTCATGAGTCCATGTCCCTCGAGTTGTTTGATGATAAGCAGAAGCCTCTCCCAAAGGTCCTGTTTAGTGCATCTATAACTTTTACAAAGAGCAAGCAGGAAAAATATTCATAGTTTTCTTCTCCACTTCTTCTTCTTTCTTATCTCCACTCAATCATTTCTGGGTGAAGTAGAATGCGTCTGCCTTTGTCATTAAGACTGGAAGCACTACTCAGTAGCAGGCTGACTTAGCTCCAAAAGAAATGGCCACCTCTAACATGAGGAATAGATGCCATGTGCAGCTGCTCCTAACATGGAGTACAAACTCTGCTCATCCTGTATACCTGGATTAGGAGCCCTTACAGGGTACTATCAGCCGGGCCAGCTGAGCCCAGGTTTTTTAGCGAGCTTGTTACTGCTCCCCCTCCTCCTTTTTCATCCGGGCTTGGGACCGGCAAAGGTGGAGTTTCTCCTCCACTACATGATGTTGATTGATCATTGTGAGGAGAATATGTATATAAGAGTGGTGTCTTAATAAAGGCTGTGTGTGTGTGTGTACAAGCCAGAATGTGTTACTTATGCTTCTTCTACAAGAGATTGTTTGAAATGTTCCATCTGTGGAAGAACCATGAGGAATCTTGTGTTTTATTGCTATAATAAAACACAAGGTAATAAGACCAAATCCAAATAAATAAATAGTGTGTGACGTTTCGGTAACAGCATTGTTGCCATCTTCAGACAAAAGTACTGAATGAGAAATTTTACCACAGCATGTTTTTAAATAGTTACTGTTATCAAGTGTGTAAACAACATGTTTAAAAACATGCTGTGGTAAAATTTCTCATTCAGTACTTTTGTCTGAAGATGGTAACAACGCTGTTACCGAAACGTCACACACTATTTATTTATTTGGATTTGGTCTTATTACCTTGTGTTTATAATCTATAATCCAAATTGTGCCTTATCTGCTATAATAAAAGAAACATTTCATCTATTAACATGAAGTAATAAGACCAAATCCAAATAAATAAATTGTGTGTGAAGTTTCAGTAACAGTGTTGTTACCATCTTCAAACAAAAGTTATTGAAAGGTCACACACTACATTATATATTTGGATTTGTTCATATTTTGTGTTTATAATCTATAATCCAAATTGTGCCTTATTATTTCATCTATTATTTTTACATTTTTTTTGTTAATTATCTAAGGAGATTATTAATTAGAAATAACTATCCTTTATATTGTTTATATATTTTTTAAGCTTTAGAAGTGATAAGGCACAATTTGGATTATAGATTATAAACACAAGGTAATAAGACCAAATAAATAAATAGTGTGTGACGTTTCGGTAACAGCGTTGTTACCATCTACAGACAAAAGTACTGAAAGAGAAATTTTACCACAGCCTGTTTTATATAGTTACTGTTATCAAGTGTGTAAACAAGATTTTGTTTACACTTTTACATGTTTTACACATAACTTGTTTACACACTTGATAACAGTAACTATTTAAACACCATGCTGTGGTAAAATTTCTCATTAAGTACTTTGGTCTGAAGATGGTAACAACGCTGTTACCGAAACGTCACACACTATTTATTTATTTGGATTTGGTCTTATTACCTTAAGCTTTAGAAGTGTTTTAAAAGCCGGCTTTTGTTTTCTAGCGAAAGAAAGTTGACTGTATTTAGAGACATATATACCACAAACACAAATTAATTTCTACTCCAGCAGAGATATCTATATATATAAAAATCAATGTTTGTATGTTTGTTTGTTTGTATGTCCGGTATACAAATTCGCAGTAGTTCACTAATTCAAACCAAAATTTCCATACATAGGTAGAAAAATACGGGGAAGACGATAGGCTATTTTAAAAAATATATAAATCAATTATTAAAACTATATATTCAAATTATTCTACTTAGCTCACTAACAGCGCCCTCTATCAAAGATCAGATTAAATTATGCTGATGCAAACAAATAGATAATGCTAATAACAAACAATTATAAAAAAAATCTTATCTAAATATATATCACTCGGGTAGATATGCACATGGGTCAATCCCAGGGCGAAGCCCGGGTCACCCATCTAGTAAATATATATAATGAGAATTTATTTCTTTTTAAAAAAGAGCAATTTTTCTACTTGATCTCAAATTAAAATGCACCCCCAAGTTGATACTGTGTAGGGAGGGAGTTTTAGTCCCCCCCTCGCTGCTATTGTTAGTGTTGTTGTTGCGGAGTAATTCAAAGGAACTCGCACAACAAAAGTTGGGCAACCAACCACAATGGTTTGTTATACAATTGACTTTTGTCAACAACTCCCTCTCCCCAGCAATTGACTTTTAAATAATTGTTGTTGTTGTTTTTCTCTTTGATTGTCTGTTTTACTCATTTTAAAATAGCTTCTTCTGATACATCTATAGAATACCCACACATATTGACTAAACTTAAGGAAGTTGTATCTTTTACCATGTATATTGATGAGGCTGAAGTGGGGATGTAAAGCTCATTTTATTGAGAGGCTGCAGTACATTGTCCTGGTGGGCTATGGTCACCAGGGCCCGTTCCAGGGCAGGGTTTGTGGTCCGGTCCCGGAGGGTTGTTGGGGTCCGATTCTCATCGGTGTAGCCGTTGGGAGGGTTATATCTGTGACAGGACATCTTTCGTTCGCCGGGCAAGGAAAAAAAAGAAAGAAAAAAAGAAAAAATAATAAATTTTTAATAAATTAATAAATTCGCATGTAAATTTATATGTTGTATATAATGGCTAAAGCGCGCTTATACCCTGTTAGTGTAGTCATACTAGCCACGCCTGTGGAAGAACCGCAAGGTTCGAAAGCTTGCAAAAGTATAATTAAAGAGGCTCCTCCGAAAAAACTTTAGATTCGTTTTACATTATAATAATAAATAGCACGAAGGTCCAACGATAACTGGCACGTTGTATTTTTAACGCCTTCCGCGAAAACGGTGGTCAGTGGTCAAATACAACTTGTACCTGTTATCTCTGTGGTGCCGTTTCACTGATAAATAATAAATAAACAAAATTTAAAATAATTTTGTAACGGTCACGTGTATTTCCGGTCGGTTGCTTGTTGACACACAACAATATATTGGTACAATAACTCTGAAAGAATGACCTTTATTGAAGATACATGAGATATTTATAAGCTACTAGACTGGTGACCCGGGCTTCGCCCCGGGATTGACCTGTGTGCATATCTACCCAAGTGATATATATTTAGATAAGATTTTTTTATAATTGTTTGTTATTAGCATTATCTATTTGTTTGCATCAGCATAATTTAATCTAATCCTTGATAGAGGGCGTTGTTCGTGAGCTAAGTAGAATAATTTGAATATATAGTTTTAATAATTGATTTATATATTTTTTAAAATAGCCTATCGTCTTCCCCGTATTTTTTTACCTATGTATGGAAATTTTGGTTTGATTTTGTGAACTACTGCGAATTTGTATATCGGACATACAAACAAACATACAAACATTCATTTTTATATATATAGATAATCCAAATTGTGCCTTATCATTATTAGCTAAAGTGTTTAATTACATTCGGTCTAATCTCTTTAATTCTCTACACCTCAAGATATCTGAGATTTCGGTTGAATTAAAGTCAGTTAGATGATTTCATCAAAACATTCATTGCCGTTGTACTATTTTCTCAGGATATATAGCCAAATACAGTTAAACCTGTCTATAGCGCCCCCTCTTGGGACTCACCAAAATAGGGTGCTATAGAGAGAGGGTGCTATAGACAGATCACTTTTAATGTAAATCGCATCTTACTATGTATTTAAAATTGAGCGCTATAGAGAGGGAGGCGCTATTTAGAGGGGGCGTTATAGACAGGTTTAACTGTATATAATTAAAATAATATTTTTCTTTCTATAAAGTCCACAGTCCAGAATGGATCAAGGCGCCATATTCAGCACACTGAGAAAAACAAGACTAGTCAACCGTGCGGTGAAGAGAACCATAATTTAATCATGGTATGCAGCGATACAATAGGTAGGCAGTTAGGGGAAACTTCCTTCCTTACACTGTAATTGTTTGTAATTATTGTGTTTTCATGGACATCTTCCTTGGCACGCTATATCAATGCACCATTGTTATAGCTCTTGTTTAAAATCACAACTGATTCCCTTTGGCCCTCCAACATCAACACATCAACTTTTAACTTAGGGAAGATTTCACTTTTCATTTATCGAACACAAGTATAACATTGAATGAAGACATTAAGACGCGAATGTTTCTTTTCACAAATAGATCAAACCTCTACTGTCCTTATTGCGCTGAAAAAATATTGGGAGGGCTTGAGTAGCATATATAAGCAA